AGGAAAGTATAAATTCTAGTACTTTTGAGGGTTGATCCCCATCCGGGATTCGAACCCACATTCTCAGAGTGAGGCACTTTATTGCAAGCACATGGAAGCCGTGTTATCCACCGACACTGAAGTTATTGATGTGGACATTCCAATGAATGACGTCGCCGGCACTGACATTAATATAACATATTCCTATTTATCTGTTTCAATACCATTTTCTACTTCATTAAAAGTCAAAAGTAGGAGGGTCGGTCGGGTAGCCTAGTGGTTAAAGCGTTCGCGCGTCACGTCGAAGGCCCGGGATCGAATCCCAACATGGGTACAATGCGTGAAGATCATTTCTGGTGTCCCCCGTCTCAATATTGCTAAAATATTTCAAATGCATTTTTTTAAAAGGCAAATGAAATAGCAGGTCACACATGCACAAAAAGGCTATGAGATAATTAATAGCTCAAAACGAAATGTAAACGTTTAATTAAACTATTAAATAAATTTTTCCTGGTTTGTTTATTTGTGGATAAACCAGAAACATGTTCTTTGATCAGCATTCACCAATGACGATAACGCGTTTCCGTATGTCTTGACTGAGGTACTTATTACATAAGCTATAATTTAGCTTATCTTTGTCACATGAGAAGAGATCTAATCTGTTAATAGCTCGTTCAACAAGTTTCACGCCTTCTTTGCACACTATGCCTTTTGTTATTCTCGCCACAGCGAGACAACCAGATTAGTCCCATTATTCACATGATATGCCTTGTCTGAATATAGTGTCTGTCTCTATAAAAAAAAGTTATCATGATCACATGATAGGCGCTGTCAATATGAGGTGTTAAAAATACTACATTCATTTGGAGGCGCGATAATTTCCTGTGGATTAATTTACTACAGTAGATGCGTCATGTAGAAAATATGGCTTCTGAAATGAAATCTATCCCAAAAGAATTTATGATGGTCGGTACTAGGGACCACATTTTGCAAAGTTTCTATTTGTAAATAGTACCTTTATAAGGTTAAACTGTTACACGTACGTTCGGTTTTAACTATAACAAAACCTTGATATTTGCGATATTTCCAAGCTTGACATTTAATAATATGCACGAGTAACCTGAATTGAGTGTGTACATAGATCATTTAATCAATATAAAACGCAGGAGAATGATCAGATCAATTATCCACCGAAATAGATTAAATCGTTAGCACGAAGCATAATTTTAATACAAGACGTTTCTTACTTCAGGAATAAAACGTTTATTAACTGGATTACAAATGGTTCCCACTCAGGGGCTTATCTCGTTCTGTTGCTGGTGATGTTTGGCCATTGGTCTACCCAAGCTCTCTCTCTCTCTCTCTCTCTCTCTCTCTCTCTCTCTCTCTCTCTCTCTCTCTCTCTCTCTCTCTCTCTCTCTCTCTCTCTCTCTCTCTCTCTCTCTCTCTGTTCCCATGTTGTATGTACTCGGTCTGTCGTCTGTCTCTGTATTTAAGGGGCAATAGAGCCTTGTCCTTTGGTCCCGTGGAGGACCATCTATTTCCTGTCACTTATAATCTTGTGACCATTTAGTCCCTGCATGGTAACACCACATGGCACATGGACAGTGGCACATGATTGGTTATCGTGTCTTTCGTAAATGAGTGGGCATATAGCAACACTGTTTACCTAAGCGTTGACCAGTGAATGGCTTGTCCAGAACAAGATAATACATTATACCACCCGTCATCGTCTACCTCACCGTTTGGACAAACAAGGTAGTTAACCAGTGTCCTTCGTCCCGCAATTTCGCGAGGCATGTGTGACTTTGGTACATTCCTACTTGTCCAGCAACCTCGCTAGGCATGTGTGACAGTAGTCACGGTAGACTAATTCTTGACGTTTTCCCTATTGCAGGTAGTTTAGTTAGTATAATTCAAATGCTACAAACATGAAGTTCATGTAGTTTTCATCGCTATTTTGACAGACAATTCAGTCATTGACATCATGATCATCGACCTAAGCAACTTGGATACGATGGCATGCATCAAACAAGTCAGCGGTCCTGATCAACCGATCCCGTTAGTCGCCTTTAAGGGCAAAGGTGCTGCGTAAGACGATTCTAACCCCAATCTTCATTGCTATTGTGGGGGCACGGGTGGCCCAGTCGTCTAAGGCGCCGCGATGCGCTGTGCAGAGTTGCGTCCCTTGGGCACGCCAGAAACCTATGATTGTGTGTTCGAATCCCGGTTCGCCCTGATTTTTTTTGTAGGTTTGTCAGCACCATACCCGTGCTCGTGGGTTTCACCGAAGTGGTAAACGTCTGAGACCTACATCACTTCGGGCTTTCCTCCCACATTAAGCTGACACGCCGCGATATGACTGGACTACTGTTAAAAGCAGCGTTAAACCCAATTCACTCACTCACTCATGGCTGTTGTGCAACATAACATGACGAATGACACACCAACGTTTTGTTAAACATGGCTGTGTACAAGGAGGAGTCGGGTTCTCAGTTTGCATGTTAGGAGCGTTTAGCGTGAGTGTATTAGAATGCTACCGTGACCGAAATACTTCCCGATTGACAGGTACGTATGCAACATTATATGTCAAAGTAATGTTAACAGTCTCTCTCGGGTTTCTTCTTGAAGGTAAATACTATGCCTAATCTGTATTTGCTGTTTGAAGGCAATTATCATTTATTCTATACATAGCGTTCACCCATATGATTAAGTAGGCATTTACAAAAGAAATCAACATACCGACAGATATATCACTTTACCAATGAAATGGCATATACAAACAAATTATAACGTAAGCATAAAAGTAAACACATCATACCGTGCGGAATTACGAGGAAATGTACATCAAGCACAATTGAAATGACAAATATACTAACGGAAAAAACTGTGCTTTTCATTAAGTGGGGTAAATGTTACGTTTTTGAGAATAACGACATAATGTTTGGTCATTCGTCTGATGAAAGTTTTATAATCACACATTCATTGAAAAAGCTCACCTTAAAGATGGGTGGTTCAACATCTCGATTAATATAGTCAACATGGCGTGTGACCGCAGTTTGCATTGATACAGCCTGGGATGCTGTTGTAAATGTATTACAAGAGTGGTCAAACTGAGCTAGTTGTCAGGAATGTAGTATTTTCGAATGTAAGTAGTGGTGTGGAAGTAACTATATTTAGATGCTTTTGGAGTCAGGTATAATCTGGAATCTTCGGGAACAGCTAGACAAATACAGCACTTCTATAAGGCATCCTCTGATCTCACAGGGTTTGTGTAAAGATCACATGATATTGCCAAGTCAAGCGTTTTTCGCGTGTTGACAACGACGACAGACACAATCGTAACACTGTGTGATTGAAAATATCGACGTCTTCACAATATATTAAAACAGGTTTTAGCACAATAAAAGTTCAATTCAGGTTGAGTATCTGCTTCTGGTAAAATATAGAAATTTGGATAAGAATATTCTGCTTCATTAAAGAGGGTTCCACCCGTGACGATCGGGTGGTCAGGCTCGCTGATGCATCTCTTCGTATCCCAATGGCCTAGATCGATGCTCATGATGTCAGTCACTGGACTGTCTTATATTATTATTAAATTATTTAAAGACCGCCATCATATATCTGGAACATAGTACGGCGTTAAACAACGAACAAACAAAACAAAAGAGGTTTCATCTGAGATCATCATGAATTGGAAAATTCATAATAAATGCGATTTGTCTTCAACACAATTGTTTTTACACATTGGACACCATCTGTCACAACAGGTATATTTTCATATCGTCCAGTTTCGAGTCTGATTGGAGCTACCCCGCATCTAAATTTCGAGAAAGCAGCTCAGGAATGTTTAGGCATGTTTTTACTTTGGTAATTTTCTGTAACATAAAGTGTTATAAGTCCGGAGTTTATCTGTGTTGTTACTGACTCTCAGGTGTCATAAACATTGACTTGTACATTTTTATAAGAGCGTTTTCCTTATCACATATATCATACCTTGCATGTTTCTGTTGATCCGATATCTTGTCTTTTGTCACCAGCCTCGGCCACTGTCTCACCGCAGCACATTTCTGAGAGATACTAAGGGGTACCCAACACATGTCACCTAGCACTGCGTTTATCGGTGTATAGATACCTGTATAAATATCTGCATGCACGATTCTGAAAGGCATGAATGAAGATTGATGCATGAATATTCCTGGAGCCCCCATGCAGCTGCACCGTATGTAACACAGGGCTGTCTTATAACTTTCTAAACACATTAAAACCCATACTCCAGAGAAGTTTATTTCTGGCTATTACCCGTTCTGGTGCACTGCTGGCAGACTGGGGTACATATTTTGCCGTTACAGCAAAGTCAAAGAATTCGTTCGCACACAGGCCGCGGTAACAGTACATAGACACAGTTTCAATATGTGAATCCCCACATTTAAGGACAGCTTGAGATGTTTGTGTTGCAGGATTACTGAAATGAACGACTTTTGACTTTCATTGTGAACACTCATTTTCACAGAGCACGACATTTTAATAAATAAAACGACAAACCCCTTTCCATAGCCAATAGAAATCTCTGTATGAAGCAGAGTCGATTGTACGATTCCGACTGTATCATGAGCATGTGTTCATGATTTACTATCAAATAGTAATGATATCTGGTGTTCGCGAAAAGGTGAGCGTATCCTGCCTGACCGGTGGTACCTGTCACAAATACATGCACAGGCAAGTAAATTGTTCAACTGAAAAAACTCGGGGACATATGGTACAAGTCAAAATAGGGAATTGCATCGGACATCATTTTTGTCACTGATGCATCAAATTTGGAAATGTCCTCCGCATGTCTACAATAAAACCTTTTGAAGGCTTTATTGAGGCCTTTAATGCTGTAACCTTGATCAAACAACTTCTGAGCAAGAGTCGTATGAAGCTCTTTGAAATCTTTGTAGAAAGAACATGCTCGATTGCTTCTTGAAGGTTGTGAAATGTAAACACCAAAGGCTGGAGCTGCTGGAATATTGCTCGACATGAAGGGAAAGTTGACTATGGAAAAGTTGAAGTCCATACAGTCTTACAGTCTTGTTGAGAGAGTTTTGTCACCCTGAATCTGTATGCATAGATCTATATATGACAAAGATGAGGTGGTCTCACTGGTCTTCTTTTTCTAGTTCGGGTGGGTAAATCAGTAGAAAGGAACTGGCTATTTGATTGTCATTGAACATTATCAGATCATCGATACACCTACCGGAAACTTAAGTAAAACTTCCTGGCCAAATTACCTTGTTTTGACTTTGCCAATCCGAACACAAATTCCGATTCATATTCATAAATAAACAGATCAGCAAGAAGGAGAACATAATTGGTGCCCATGGGAACGCCTACTTCTTGCCTAAATGACTTTCAAAGACTTTCAATCATCACTTGTAGGTCCGCTTCATTCTTCGCCATCAGGACTATATCATCATCATATAAAGGCTTCACACATTTTCTTCATTACATTGTATCTCTAACCCTAGATTTTAAGCCAGCGCCAGGTCATTTGTATACAAAGTAAAGAGCAGTGGGGATAGCAAAAGCCCCTGTTTCACACTATTGCTTACTCTAAACCAGCTTGTTTTCATCCCGTTCACTCGTACTCAACTATAGAGCATAGAGATTTCTATAAATGACATGGGACACTCTGCCTTGTAGACCTAAGTTTTCTGACGTCTTTCTTTGGATATTTTTTTAAGATTACAAAAGCAAAAAAGGTAGAAAGTCTCTTTTTCTTTCTCGTTTCAATAATGCTTTTGAGGGTTCATATGTTGTCGACTGTGCTTCGGCCTTTCTGAAGCCGTCCTGTTCCTCGTTAATGAATTTTCTTCTGCCCTTGTAGATGAACGTTTGTTTAATATTCCGCAGCTCAACTTATACACAGAGGATGCCAGCATGATGCCTCTGTAGGAAGTGGGCTCTTGCTTGTCTGCAGTACTACATTTGAGAATCTGGTGAATCACTCCCCGAGTCCACCACGACGGTACTTTACCTAACGTCGATGTCACGTAATGTATCTGCTGGTAGCTCGTTATCTCTGGTTGCTCTACCATTTTCATTTTGTGAAGTGGACATTCTAATTCACACACGCATATTGGTATGTCCAGAATGTTATTTCCTTCATCTCTGGTGACGTGGTAATCCTTCATTTCTGTGTCGTTCACATTGAGGAGAGTTTGACATTCGGTTTTCAACTTTTCTATTACGTCATCAATTTTACAAGAGATACTTCCATCTTCCATTACAACATCCATGGGGAAACTATCGTCCGCTCTGCTCCTATTCCCATCTTGCCAATAGCTTTCCCAAAATAAGTTGGGTCTTCCTGCTGTTTTTCTGTATAAAGTCCTCGACCCTTGCAATGTAAACAAACAATCAAGAGTTTCAGATAATAAACGTCATTGTGCCCCATAGCTAATAGAGGCTTATTTATGTCATATAGTTCGGCTATTTAAACACCATTTGCTTATTCGGCCTTTTGCTCTACTTGTGAATTAAAGCATATTTATGTATGTATTTTATCATTATTGCTTCCATAATTTATATTCATTTTGAAGGTCAAAAACACAATGGCCCTGGTCACCCATGATTCACATATCTTCAGCAACTTCAATTTGAAGAGACATATGACATCATGTTTCCTGGTGATTCAGGGTCGGTACAATTAATCTGTATGCCCATTACTGCATTATGATAAATAGTGAAAAAGCCCTTTTCATATTCAAAAGAAATATCTGCCAAAAGTTGATTCTACAATTCCGACCATATCATGAGCATAATGGTAAAAGTATCTCAGGGATTTTCTGTTTTAGTTATACCCGAGATACATATCTATTTTCTAAATGGATGTTGTAATTAATACTTATAAATTGAAGGAATCATGAATGATATATGTGCATTTTCCGTGGATGTCATTTTGCTGCACATGTTGGTTGGTTGGTTTGTTGTTTAACGCCGCACTCCGCAATATTCCAGCTATATGATATGTAAATAATCGAGTCTGGACTAGACAATGCAGAGATTAATATCATGATCATCGATCCACGCAATATTTGGATCGATGACATGCATCAACCATCCGATCCCATTAGTCGCCTCTTACGACAAGCATAGTCGCCTTTTAAGGCAAGCATGGGTTGCTGAAGACCTATTCTACCCCGGATCTTCACGGGTCCGCCCCCTGGCGACCCGACCCTACAGCGATAGGTGTTTATGCATAAGCAGATCATGGAGAAACACTTGTGCATATATGTTCCTCCTTTCAGCTAAATCACCCAGAAGCTGGAGAAGGAATGGGTAGAGGCGGTCCTGATTGCACCGAGCTGGCCAACTCAACCCTGATATACGCCGCTCATGACCATGATGACTACCTGTGGTTTCTGCCACGGAGATTGGATCTTCTAACTCTACCTCACAACAGGGAGCTGAAACCATCGAGGAACTGGATTTGCCTAATGCCATGCTGCTTATCCAGAAGTCCTTCCACTGCGAAACATTCCAACAGAAGCTCAAGTAATCATAGTTCACAGTTCATTGTTATTGTTAAATTTGATAATGATACACTTTATGTTTCTGGAACTCTTTAGGATTACTTGCTGCCACTGGAGAGTTGAGAAGACAAAGTATTCACGTTTTCAGAAGTCCCACAAGCCTGTTTCACGAGCTACTCTCGCGCGTTAGCTGAAGCTGACTTTGAGGGCAGCTAGCACAGACACTAAGCTGTTCAGTGCTCACAGCAGCCAAGCTGCTGCTGCTTCGGCAGCCAAAAGAGAATACATGCCTATCAGTGATATTCTTATTCTGCAGGTTGACCTACAGTAACTACATTTGCAAGACACTATAGTGTCCCTATACAGTAACAGAAAAGTGACATATATAGACCATTGCCACACAGAGAAGGGTAGATGTCGCTGATAAGGTTCAGAAGAACCACAAGTTTTGAGTTTGAAGCAGAAATTTACGTATCAATAATAAATGATATTCATTCAGCATGTTCAACAGATAGATCTTAATGTAAATTAATGTTGACTCTTGATAGATTGTGTATTTTGTGGATTGTGACTCAAGTGGCTTTGAAGTCTTATGGAAACTGGAAGCATTGTGACCTGGTTATCTTGAAGTTGAGGTTTCATCGGGATTCTGCTGAGTCATGGGAATTCTGGAGTTTTACAAGTCCTGCGCTTTAAACTCATTGATGGTTTTCTTTTCACATTTGACACTTGTGTTAAAGACTGACGGAAGATAGCACCTCACGATCTCATGTAAACCTCCAGCATTCCTGTGCCGTTGATGAATCCTTATAAAACTTCAACTTATAGATAAGTCTCGTTTAATTGTCAATTTTTTTAGAAACAGACTCTTTGAATAGCCACCTCGGCTATCAACATACATCTGCCCCTGTCGGCAGGTATTCGTGCTGCTGAGAGAGAAACTGCGGTATATGTTACTCAATGTTGTACAATGAATTCCCCTGTACTTGAACACACGTACAGTATCTTGATCAAAGGTGTTTTGGAAGTAAACATAATCCTGTTCTTCTTGCGTGCAGCACACAACTGAGATCATTCAGAAATGGCACAGCAGTTGGAGGCAGAGTGTCTGATATAGACCACAAGGCTTTTATGGCCGTTTCAACGTATCTAGCATTCTTATTGACGTTTGTGATAGCTGTCTCTAATCTGCCTATATCTACACTGCAGTTGAAACCTGTTCAATGACCTTTGTGTCACGTGGATTAGACCGAGGCACAATCTGCTCGATAATGCAACATTAGCATGAACATAGCCGCAATCAAGGAAATGAAATTCTCATTTAATAACTTGAAATCGATGGTCTGTACTGATTTTAAAGTCTCTTAGGTCACTGCCTATACGATCAATAGCATGCAATATTTCTGACTGCTTATCTTCAGACATAACTATTTGAAACTACTGTTGAAAACCGTCGTTTTGGTTCACGACAGTTACAGTCCTTCTGCCGGTGAGGGCACACCCGACAAGAATTAAAATAAGATTTCCCTTTGGTTCGTGACTACAGTCTCAGTCACTGCAATAAACGTTCAGGTTTAAATGCAATGATGTTTGCAATCAAATAAATAAGACGTTTACCACTTTCGTGAAACCAATGAACACTGGTATTTAGCATACAAATCAGAAACACTACCAGGGCGAACCAAGTATCGAACCTACGATAAGGTGTGCGCGAAATAACTGGTGTACCGGTAATTTTCAATACGACCGTCAGCAATACACGTGTCACAATACAGTCTGTGAGTGAGTATTGTTTTACGCCGCTTTTAGCAATATTCAAACAATATCACGGCGGGGGACACTAGAAATGGGCTTCACTCATTGTACCCATGTCGGGAATCGAACCCGGGTCAACCACTAGGCTACCTGACCGCCCCTTATCACAATAAAAAAACAAACTTGTGTATCGATATTTTGTGATTTAGTCGCAGAAGAATTAATATATAATGATATAAATTATATCTACTATCTTGAGCAATTTGGATCGACTGGATTCCTTTCCAAACAACACACACCTCGTGCTCGTCATATTGATGACGTAGTAGGTAGATTCGTTTATCCGAAATATAATAACCGATCGTGCAATCGGAAATCTGGATTACTGAGTGAAGCGACGCCCTCTAGTTGTCAAGATAACATAGCGCATGATGCGAATGACGACGAGTTTAACGAAACCAAAATACTCGATTGGTGTGATTGGTGGAAACATTTCGCCCTACAGAAATGGAATTACACAGGAAGAATAGAAGAAAACAAGTCCCTACGTCATTAGCCATGGTAGATGTCATGGTGTGCTTGAAGCCTATGTCAGTAATTACTACCTCTGCTTGCAGCGAACAAACACCAACTGTATCTATGATCATGCCTTTGTATCATGCACTTACTGGTACTCTTAATCCCCTTGCATCAGATTTCAGTGTTGTCAAAGTGATTGGAGGTTTGTTGTGGCAGACGCAATCGGAAGATACAGCAAGATCGGGCGGCTTCTCACTGTGGTAACAGCGTTGGATCCACGGTTCAATTCCCTTTTATTCCTCCACATAGACGGACGCTATCATGTATCCTCTGATGTGGTGACAAAAGCTGTGATATTAGCAACAGACCAAGAACAGGTCAAGATGGAAGTTGTTGAAAATGATCCTCTGCCACTTCCAGAACTGCATCTGGCCGATAATGAAGTTACTCCAATGAAGGTCTCAAATATTGAACCTGAAGTTAGTGGACCTCTGCATGACCTTCTGGGTGATGTATATGTCACAAGTGTGGTTCCACCCAAATCTACCTTTGCTCAATTTGAGGACCAAGTTAAGCGGTACAAAACAGTTGCTCCGATATCTCTTGGTGATATCCCACAACAATGGTAGAAGTTAAACGATTACCATGTTGTCTAAATTAACAAAATCATTGCTTTGTATACAGCAACCAGTGTGCCATGGGAACGGGTGTTTTAGCACTGCGGGAGACATAGTAACAGCCGAACCCGTGAAGATTCCGGTGTAGAATAGGTCTTTAGCAACCCATGCTTGCTGTAAAAGGTGACTATGCTTGTCGTAAAAGGCGACTAACGGGATCGGGTGGTCAGGCTCGCTGACTTGGTTGATGCATGTCATCGATCCAAACTGCGTGGATCGATGCTCATGATATCAATCACTGGATTGTCTGATCCAGACTCGATTATTTACAGACCGCCGTCATATAGCTGGAATATTGCTGAGTGCGGCGTAAAACAAAAAACAAACCAAAACTAGTAACAGCCTAACGCACTTACCTTGAAATGAAACATGTGGATGTCACCATTTTCCTGAGAAAAAACATGAAATAAAAATCAAAACACCCACATCCATTTGAGACGATATGGCAGTTTATTGTTGAACTTAGAGTTTTGAATAAGTCCAGCTGACATTTCATTCCGAGTTGTGATATTCATTTATTTCATAATGTTTTGTCCAGTTTTGACGTTTAATACACGAGATGAGTTGGTATTTGCCCACTACAGAGAGATGCCCAGAGTTGTATGAGGATGTTCCATCCACTTTCCATCTGTCATTTAATCAGTTGTAGAATATGTGATAAATAGGCAACATTTCCGACCAGTTTTTAGTTGAATCATTTAAGGATTACACAATGGTATCAGTTATGAAGTGTTGTAATTATTTCACCATTTGAGTAGTGCAAATATTTATAACAAATGATTCTTTGGGCCGCAATACAGCTCTCCGCGGTATTTTGAAGGACAATTTACCCATACGCCAACCCTACCCACGACCACAGGGTTCTGGCGTGCCGAGGGATGGAACTCTGCACAGCCCGTGGCCCGTTAAATATAGATGGATGTAAGTACTGATGGCTGCGAGTTGATGTAACTTAGAAAGACTTCGAAAATATTTGTCTTCGCTTAATTCTTAGAATAATTTCAGTGCAAATTCCACAAGATCAAATATATGGTATCCACATTTTTAATTTTTAAAACTGTTAACTATAACTATTAACAATTAATTTGAATTTTTAATGAGGAAAAATATGAATTTATCACGTTAAACCTTCCATAATACAAATATCGAACACGGATCAGACAGAACAACATATGTGCAGAGAAAGTCTTTGATGGTAATCTTTAATGTTTATAAAACATCAAGTTAGCATGCATTTCATAGAATGGCCTGTCTATTTGTTAATTGTCGCAACATATCAATACTGTAATAACTTTAGGTGAATATAAAATTTGTCTTTTATATATGTAGCTTCGATTAAAAAAAATATGAAAAATCGATTCCTATATTACGTTTATCATTACTTGGTTTAACTCTTGAGATATAATATATGACAATTTGATATCTATATAGAAAGTTTGATAAATCAAAGTAACTATGGGTACACATCAGCCCTAAACAATGCATGACTTTGTAATAGCTGCATTCTTTATTCTTGTTATCTTTCAACTCTTCATACCTTAAAACTCTTCCGGGGTAGAATAGGTCTTCAGCAACCCATGCTTGCCGTAAAAGACAACTATGCTTGTCGTAAAAGGCGAATAACGGGATTGGGTGGTCAGGCTCGCTGACTTGGTTGATGCATGTCATCGATCCCAATTGCGTGGATCGATGCTCATGATAACAATCACTGGATTGTCTGGTCCAGAATCGATTATTTACAGACCGCCGTCATATAGCTGGAATATTGCTGTATGCGCGTTAAACAACAAAACAACCAACCAACCACAGCATTTAGTAAGCTTATCAATGAGTTGAGACGCAAGAAAAAAACACCAAATGATTTATCACAATGCCAAAATAAAAATATATATATGATATAATAATATACTCTGGAAGGACATGATAATAAACAAAACCAATTTTAGAGAAACATACTACTTCGGCTCATTTTGTTAGGGAGACACACAAGGAAAGAACATGTAATGTTCACACACAGTCCTGATGGACGCCGCCAGCTGCTGAACAAGATACTTGTAATTCAAGTTGATCATGTGCAATTATGTATAACCATTAATATACAATATGGTGACAAATATTCGTCAATGATGTAGTCGAGGGGCTCCAAATTATATGCTATAGATTGTTACAGGTGTTGAGGCAACAAGAAGCCCCATCAAGACAGACACCTTCCCTCCACTGATTGTTCCGCCATTGTCCATGATTGGCAAGCATTCGTCACCTACAATATATTATTTATATGTGGATAGTTGCAATAATTCGGGGACTATTATATAGCCAATTATGAACTAGCTGACAAATGTAATCATAAATAATCATTGTCGGTCTAACTTGACTTAAAATATAGTGTCTTTGAGACATGTTTCCAGAAATTCCAGGGGATGTATACCACAATGGAGATATAATGATATAAGGGAGAGAACTCTCCGGAAGTTTTTGTGTTACGATAGCGCGTGAATCGCATCAGTGGAGTTGGCAGTTGTAAGTATTGAATGTTACTTTGATTGTGTTGCGTGTTGTTATAGTGTTTTGGAATGATTGTGTGGAGATGATCGTTTGGGAGTTGGATAATGAACTTCTAACGAATAACAACGTTTACCTGAACCAGCGAGTTCTGTTGCCTGTCAAGAAGAATACACGTTATATTCGAGGATTAACTTCCTGGATGATCATGGCTTACCATGTGTATTTTTCAAGTAACCTCCGTTGTCGTTGAGTTTACAAAAGAAACATTCATCGTCTCCCCTTGGTACGCCTTCGTGGGCACATTTTCCTTTATGTGCGCAGTATCTGCCTGATGGTCAGAATAAAATACAAAAGAGGAAGAAAACATTTGTAAAACTTTTGTTTTGCTCGTTTGTTGTGTTAGGCCGCACTCAGCAATATTCCAGCTTTCTGACGGCGGTCTGTAACTAATCGAGCCTGTACCAGACAGTCCAGTGATTGACATGATGAGCATCTATCTACGCAATTGGGATACGGTGACATGCATCAACCAAGTCAGCGAGCCTGACCACCTGATCCCGTTAGTCGCCTCTTACGACAAGCATAGTTTGTAGTTGATTATTCTCAGATTTGTTTCAGGGTTCTTCGACTTCATACACCAATTATTAAGTTGACTACCCTTAAATAAATATATTCACATACTTCTGAGATTAGAGACATTATCAAAGAAGTTCGCAGACAACCCGTCTTTGTTCAATTTTTGTGTCACAGCATCGCCATAATGAGCTTTAGAGGTATTGATTGTTCTTGTTATCTGATAGTATATTAAATAGTATTCGTCTAATTTGAAAAAGACGACATTACCCACAGACTCCATTCCATAGTGTCTGTGTTGACGTTGACCGGCAACTCATTACTGTAGACATGGCCATCATGAGATGTTGTGAGCAGAGACAACGGCGTCTTCTCTGGGTTCTAGCCTCTTACCACATATTTCTTTACTTGGCATTTTGAATATTCTTCGCCACTAAAGATATCACCCAAAACCGCCATTTCCGCACACGTTCCGGCAGCCAGGTCACATTTACCTCCCTCGCCAACATCAATCAGAACAGGGGGGTTGGTGAAATCAACGGAATGGTCCCCAAAGCCAGAGTTCTTGTGACACTGTCCTGGAATTAAGAAATTGAGATTATTAGCCGCGTTTCCCTTTCGTAAATATCATATAATAAGAATATATTAGCAACATCGTTATCACTACCTCTAAAACCGACAATAAATGCAACAAATACAAATTATTAAAACATTGTAATGATAAAAAAAAGTTTAAGACGAATTTTCCATGTTTAAGCGCAGAAAATTTCCGTTGTGTAAATAATCGATAATCGTATGCCAACTGCGTGGATCATGATGTCAATCACTGTATTGTCTGGTCCAGACTCGATTATTTACAGACCGCAGTCATATAGCTGGAACATTGCTGTGTGCGAATTTCCGTATGTTTCATCCGCATCTTACTTTTTGGCCACATATTAAATATCAAAGAGGTACATTGTAACTATAATACGTGATGGATCCAAGGATGGGGACGCTTTTGCCAGCAACTCTCTTGTTGGATCCAGAATTTATCAACCAAATTACAAGATAATTCTTCCATTTTACATCCGAATCAAGAGCCATTATAACAGCTATCGAACATATCAATAAACAGTCTCAACAGAAGCAATGAAGTAATTGTTCACACTCTCTGTCCCGGAAAAACTGAAACTTGTACATATCAGTGTAAATTGCTTTACTATTGATCCGAATATTTTATGATTGACTGGCTATGTTATTAATTGAAGATGACGCAGGATGGAAAAAAGGCGACGCCAATTCTTGCAACATCAAAGGCAGTATTAGTGAGTATTAGTGAGGTGATATGCTCTACGCTAGAACCCAGAGAAGACGCCGTTGTCTCTGCTCACAACATCTCATGATGGCCATGTCTACAGTAATGAGTTGCCGGTCAACGTCAACACAGACGCTATGGAATGGAGTCTGTGGGTAATGTCGTCTTTTTCAAATTAGACGAATACTATTTAATATACTATCAGATAACAAGAACAATCAATACATATAAAGCTCATTATGGCGATGCTGTGACACAAAAATTGAACAAAGACGGGTTGTCTGCAACCTTCTTTGTTAATGTCTCTAATCTCAGAAGTATGTGAATATATTTATTTAAGGGTAGTCAATCTAATGATTGGTGTATGAAGTCGAAGAACCCTCAAACAAATTTGAGAATAATCAACTACAAACTATGCTTGTCGTAAGAGACGACTAACGGGATCAGGTGGTCAGGCTCGCTGACTTGGTTGATGCATGTCACCGTATCCCGATTGCGTAGATAGATTCTCATCATGTCAATCACTGGATTGTCTGGTACAGGCTCGATTAGTTACAGACCGCCGTCAGGAAGCTGGAATATTGCTGAATGCGGCGTTGAAAAAGAAAGAAACAAACAACAACAACAAAAACGCTAGGAGACAGATGATTATTGAGCCTGGACACAAACAAGTCAGCTTCTGGCATACCCTAGATATATACTAATTCCTTTAATACCTCTCTACTCAACATCCACTCACTTCTGTAAAATACCTAGAGTGCAGCTTAAAACAACAAACAAGCTAAACAAAAGTTTTACAAATGTTTTCTTCCTCTTTTGTATTTTATTCTGACCATCAGGCAGATACTGCGCACATAAAGGAAAATGTGTCCACGAAGGCGTACCAAGGGGAGACGATGAATGTTTCTTTTGTAAACTCAACGACAGCGGTACACATGGTAAGCCATGATCACTCTGGAAGTTCATCCACGAATAAAACGTGTATTCTTCTTGATAGGCAACAGAACTCGCTGCTTCAGGTAAACGTTGTTATTCGTTAGAAGTTCATTATCCAACTCCCAAACGATCATCTCCACACAATCATTCTAAAACACTATGACAACACGCCACACAATCAAAGTAACATTTTATATTTACAACTGTCAACTTCACTGATGCGATTCACGCGCTGTCGTAACACAAAAACATCCGGAGAGTTCTCTCCCTTACATCATTATATCTCCATTGTAGAATACATCCCTTGGAACCATATGCCTCCACTGCGTCGTTGTGGACGTGACGTCACGATCTCAATCTCCCGCATCGCTCACCTTACACAGAATGTCTGTGGCTGAACTCAACAACAATTTAACATGACTCACCTTAACGACTGTTACGCTCCACGTTCAAAAATAGCGGTCTTGAGCTCTACATTCAAAATCGCGGCCTCGTTCGAATGAACCCTCGATATTATTCAATTAAACAATTAATTCCTCTGCGGATCCGAATGGACGACTTGATGAAAAATATGTTTTTCTCTTGAATATTAAGACAGTGGAGGGAAATTCTTATTTTACCAGGCGTACCCAGTTCTACCTGAGTGCTTTATAACACGATACGAGTGATATGTTTACTTCGTCTTTGAGGACAATCCTGTAGCCAATAAAAAAATGAATTAATGTATTATACATGGATGGATATTTTCGAACTGGCCTCAAAACGAAGCTTTGGTGCGAGTGGTTCCTGTGTATTTATGATGCCGGACAGTTATGCTGGTAAAATGTACTCCAAGCAAAGGTTACTTTTGGGGAACACCAAATAACAGCTTCCGCTTACTTTATAAGGGCGATGTTGCCTTTTATCTGGTTTCCCTATTACTAACAGCGTCATACGACTCTTGCTGAAAAGTTGTTTGACCAAGATTACAGCATCCAAGATCTCAGTAAATATTTCAACTTTTACGCCTTCTTGACAAATATCGGTGCAAATCCCTTCTTTTACTTGTACTATATGTCCCCGTGTTCCAGGTGAACAATTGACTTGTTTCTGCATGTGTTTGTGATACTCTACCCTTTTCTCGAAAACCCGGTATTTGATGGTGATCCATAAACACCTGCTATTGATATAGTGGGAATCGTACAATCCACTTTATTTAAAGTCAAGTTAGACCGACAATGATTATATATGATTACATTTTTCAACTAGTTCATATTATATATTGTAGGTGACGAATGGTTGCCAATCATGGACAATAGCGGAACAATCAGTGGAGGAAAGGTGTCTGTCTTGATGGGGTTTCTTAGTGCCGCAACACCTGTAACAATCAATAGCATATAACTTGGAGCACCTCGACTTCAGCATTGACGAATATTTGTTACCATATTGTATATTCATGGTTACACATAATTGCACAAGATCAACTTGAATTACAAGGATCTTGTTTAGCAGCTGACGGCGTCAACTCAGGACTGTGTGTGAACATCACATGTTCTTTCCTTCTGTGTCTACCTAACAAAATGAGCCGAAGCAGTAGTTTCACTAATATTGTTTTGTGTATTCTCTTGTCCTTACCGATAAATTATTATATCATATATATTTTAGCATTGTGATAAATCATATGTTTATTATGTTTCTAAATCATGATTATGGCTTTAACCTTTGTGTTTTGATAACATTTGATCCAATAAAAGAGCGCACAACTATGATGTCTTCCTCCTAACTCGAGTTATTACATCGGTTGACGTATTGGGACGGTCGTAGTTTTCTTACCTGTCGACTCATTGTTCAGCTTACTGAATGCACGCACTGTCTGTTGCATTCATTGTACAGCATGAAGCATGTGTAGGCTGAACAAAAGCTCAGGATTCATTCGTCACCACTCGACCCTTTCCGTAACCTGAAAAAAGACTCGCCCCCTTATCGAACAATGAGTGAGTGAGTGAGTAACGCCGCTTTGATCAGTATTCCAATTATATCCCGGCGTGTCAGCTAAATGTGGGAGGAACGCCGAACAATGTAATGTCCTAAAATATGACAAAGCATTAAGGATTGAGGTACTTTGATTAAAAACAATTCCGAGTACCTAAATCAATTATGAAAATATTTGATCGTTTGAAAAATCGTGATAAGTATATACCGTCAATTCAACGAAACATGGATACCAGAATTGTGACATGGATTTGTAGTTGTTGATATGTATAGGGTGATGGGCAGTGAGATATTCAAATTCACAATAATAATCCAGTTTATTATTGAATATTATTTTATTGACTGTTTTTAAGTAAATGAAATAGACACCAGTTTCAAAACAATATACATTCTTATGTAGTTCTTCAGTTTAAGAAGTCTTTACAAGTCATTCTCTGACAGTATTATCCCTAGTGGTGATATCATGATCGGAATACAACCTAGGTACACAAATCTATTATAAATAACTAGAGTTTTAAGATAACAGGAATACAAAATGCAAATATTCCAAAATTATGCATTGGTTGGGGCTGTTGTGTACCCACAGTTGCTTAAATTTATCAAACTTTCTATTTAGATATCAAATTGTTATATGTTATAACTCAACTTATATCTAGTAATGAGTGAATGAGTATGGGTAGTCCGCTTTTATCAATATTCCAGCAATATCACGGCGGTGACACCAGCAGTGGGCCTCCATTGAACCAATATCGTGAATCGAACTCGGGTCCTCGGCGTAACGAGCGAACGCTTGAACCACTAGGCTGCCCGACCGAACCCAATCTAGTAATGATAAACGTAATACAGGATATATATATATCATGATATGACATCATGAGCATCGATCCACGCAATTGGGACCGATGACATGCATCAACCAAGTCAGCGAGCCTGACCACCCGATCCCGTTAGTCGCCTCTTACGGCAGTGATTTAAAAAGTTTGTGTGCCACCCTTAGAAGCGTATAAGACCTGCAAATCCAGTCGTATTTAGTTTACGATATACAATCAAATTACATATATCATAAATTACACGAAATGTATACACTTCATGGCATATTGAGTATTAGATGCAAGATTGCTTAAAATGGAAGCTTAATGTGAATATCTCAACAAACCTATATGATAATCTTTGGAACGGGCCCAGCCAAATGCATCAAATCAATATTTTAATTTTGGGAAAGACATTGGATATTGTAGATAGCTATACTACTTAGGTATAAATCTTCACAGAAATATGCGTTCTATATAAAATCAAACAGCAAACGCGACAAAAGCAATGTAATGCCTAATTAAAGGAGCACGAAACGTTAACCTACCATTGGATTGTTTATTGAGGGCTTTTGACGTGGTGGT